AAAAAAAAAAAAAAAAAAAAAAAAAACCCCCAAAAAAAAAAAAAAAAAAAAAAAAAAAATACTCATGATGAATTTCCAGGCCAGCACCTCAAATATGCCAGTGCTTTCACTTGGTGTCCATAGGGGATGGGTCCAGGACTCCTTGGATAACAAGATCCATGGCTGCTCCAGTCCTCACAGAAAATGGCAAAGAGTCTGCATATAACCTTGTGTGTCTCCAATATACCCTAATCCACCTCTGCATTATTTTTGACTCTTAATACAGCCCAAATGCTAAGAACTGTTATCTGATATTGCTTACAGAATAATAAGAAAAAGACCTGTGTGTCTTTAGCATGGATGATTTTTTTTCTTTGGTACCGGGGAATGAACTTGGGTCCTTGCACTTGCAAGGCTGGCCACTGAATCACTGAGCTAAATCCCAGGACCCATGGATGATTTTTTTAAAAAGTTGTCTGAAACTTCAGATTTGGAGCCTATAATAGGCTGAACTGAATGACCTTGTCTCCTGGTGACCAGTAGAGGGCTCTGCAGGCACAAAGACCTTGCTCTCCCACTTTACCTAACCCTGCCTGACCCTTCAGTCATGAGAGCCCGGGGCACAGCTAGCACTGGATTCCCAGGGCTCCATGCCCAACCTGCTAACCGGAGGGTGCAACACTGGGCACCGAGGGCACCGAGGGCACCGCAGATCTGCAAACCCTAAAGCCAGGGCCAAGAGCAGCGCATCAGCAACGACAACAAAGATGAGGGGGTGATGCAATTTTTCTTGACACGATTCTTTAAGCTGCCCCTTTTTCTGACAAATCCATCTTTCTGGGGATGGATGGGGATCTAGGGATGATGGGAGAGGGGAGGGAAAGGAGAAATAAAAAGGATTAAGATGCACTATGTACATGTCCTCAACCACCAGCATCAATATCTTCATTATTTGTGGCAAAAATGTACTAATAACAGAAACAAAAAACGCAAAGCTGTCTTAAAATGTGACTCTAATATTTAGAAATGATCTATGTGACACTTTAGTCAGAGTTCAGTGATGAAAAAGAGAGAGAGAGAATTCAATGGTAAAGAGCAGCGCACCCAGGACCCCAGGATCAGAAACAAGGGCACTGGGCCCAATTCTGTGTGAGGCCATTTTCCTAAGACACCAACCTTAAGCACTGGGGAGGAAAACAAGAACCGTGCCCAGTGCGACACATGCTGAAAACCTACTAGGCGAACAGTGAAATCACAAGACAATGACAAACAGAGCCGTGCCTATATGCCTATCTGCTCTCGCATGTGTCTGCGCCCGTCTGTGTGTTGTGTTTTGCTTCAAAGCTGCTAGGCTGTTCTTCCAGGGAAGTGAATTAAGAAACAGCAGGTGAGCTGGCTGCACGGGTCCTCACTGCTGAACCAGAGGCCTCAGCGGAGTCGCGCACGTGCGTTGGCCTGCCCGGCAGAAGCCCCATCCCAGAGGCCACTCACCCTGGGTCCCCACCAGCACGAGAGGGACCTCGCTGGTGTTCCGGTAGTTGGCCATTCGACTGTAGTAGTGGTAGACGGTCTGGAAGCTGATCTCATCCTCCAGGCTGAAGACGAATATGACAGCGTCCACCCACATGGCAAACTGTGGAGAGAGGGGAGAGGGTGAGGCTGAGTACCCTGGAAGGAGTGTACTAGAGAAGCAGGGGCTGCCCTCGGGGAAAATGAGTCAGCACTCCTCACGGTCAGACGGTGCAGAAACCTGAGGGTCCCAGCTCTGCTCCAGAGCTAGACGGGTGCAGGCAGATCCTGCCCCTCTCCCCCGTGACCCTGGGGCAAGGTCTTGGGGTGCCAGCTTCCCCACCTGCCTACAGGCTGGTCTCAGGGTGACAGGAGGCAGCCCAGGCGCTCCCCAGAAGGAAGGAGAGGAACAAACGGGGGCTGTCTGCCGCAGACCTGGACTGTTTCTCTCTTCCTCCAAGGCCTGAATAATTATAGTGGCCGAAAGGAAGAAAACTGTCACCTCATCATATTCTATTACACGTACTGGGCGTTTTAAGCTATGCAGAAAGAGATGTATGTTGCTGTGGTTATCAGAGAAAAGATCTTCCTCAGAGACAAAATTCTGCTTGTGACACCACACCTGGGTTCTGTCCGCTGGTTTGTGGGGGCTGCGGAAACACCAAGTAACTGGCTTAGATAACAGCACGCAAAGGTAGGTTTTTATTTTTTGAAGCTGGGGGTAGAACCCACGGCCTCACAAATGCTAAGCACATGCTCGGTCACAGAACGACGCCCCAGCACGCCCAGAGTGTCTACATAAAGAGGAAGCCCAGTAACATTCACGGCTGGGTTAACACTACAGGCAACTGTGCCTCGCAGAGCCATGGCTCTGCATCCCTCTGAGTGTTCCTGTCCCCAGGGCCCCAAGGCTGCTCTGAGCAGAGGACTCCCAGTCACGGTCAGGCCTGACCCAAGCAGCACAGGGGATCTGTGTCCTGGCCTTGGGCCCTGCGGATGGCACTGCAGGGCTCTAGAGTGGTGCTTCCGCAGGCTCTCCTGCCGTTCCTGTCATGCCCTGCTAAGGCCCCATCTCCCACAGTGCTCCCCATCGGCTCCAGAAGTTGCACGTCCTGGGGAAGGTGGATGTCGAGCCAGGCAACCTCAGTTTCACCGGCTGCCTCGGGGAGCCTGACCAAGAGCCCTTCCTGGGGCAGAGGACTTGGTCGCCACTGTGAGGCCCGAACGCGCAGTGGCACTGCCCGGCACCCGGCTCTCCACTTGCTAGGCAGCTCCCGTGTCTTCCATGTCACAGGCGAGTGTGCCACCCCATCCGTGAGAGGAAGGAAACGCTCCAGCTCGGCCTGAGGTCACGCTGCACCTCGTTACGCCGGCAGCTCAGAGCGTCACTGGACAGTGTCCCTAAGGGACATGGGCTTCTCTGACCATGAGTGGGTACAGCCGGGGAACACAGCGACCACATGGAGTATCCGCGTGGCCTCCCAGTGCACAGAGCATGGAACCCTCTGCACCCCCATGGGGACGCCCTCATGTTTCCCACCTCACACAGAAGAGGTGCTGAGGGTGAAGGCCAAGGCGGGCAGAACCCAGTCTGCATGTAGTCAGGAAATCATGATGCAAGTAAAATAGTAAGTTGGATGAGTAGACAGAAAGTTTCCCACACTCTCGTGTTATTTCCAGGATGTTCATCTTTCTAGAAATCTCTCTTTCTCTGTCTGTCTCTCTCTTTCATTCATTCATGCAGACTGGGGACTGAGCAGAGGCCTTTGTGCTGAGCTGCATCCCCAGTCCTTTACTTTGAGAAAGGATCTCCTGCTCAGGCAGGACTCAAACTGATGATTCTCCTGCCTCAGCCTCCCAGAGAGCTGGGATTACAGGTGTGCACCAGCATGCCTGGCTCTTTCTAGGAATTTTCAAAGAAAGCTCGGTCTGTCGCCAGCTTGTTTTCTGTGGAGGCAAATCTGCTGAGGAGGGCAGCAGGCTCACAGGGATGCCAGGCCCCACCAGCCACAGGAGCAGAAGGAAGGTCAGAGTCCAAATGCCACGCAGCAGACCATCTTCCTTCTGCACAGATCAGGCCAATTAAAGGGAAGAAACAAACAAAAACACACAAAAAATTCTAGATGCTATTTCAATGGAGTTTTCAAATCAGTGCAAACTCGGTTTTTCTTTCCTTCTTAAAAGAAAGAAAAACCAGCCAAGGCGTCCACAGAGCCTTAGAGAAAGGCTGACCAGCATGCAGTACTCACCTGTGCCTCCGGGGGGCCCCCTTCATCTCTGATCAGCAGCAGATAGCTCTGTCCATCCACTACGATCTCCTTCTTGAACCTGCCACCTGCCACACACAAAACACCTGGTTATGGAGGAAAAACAGGGTGGGTGGAGGGCAGACAGACATGGGCTTCGCTTGTGGAAAAATATACCTTAGGTGGCCACCCTGGGGGCCACTGACTGGGCACGCGGGAGTGATTTGCTATGTCTCCTGAATTTGAGAGCAACTGAGCTTGGGGTGGTGAAATGCGATTCGCAGAGCCTGTGCTCGCTTCTGGGGACAAGGCCGGCACTCCTGGCTGGAGAAGCACAGAGTTTTCGCACAGCCTTTATATGTCGGTTTGAAGCCCTCACTGGCGGGAACACAGCACACTGACACTGCCGTGCTCTCGCTGGGTTCACGAATCGGAGACAAATTTTCTGCACCCAATGGCTCCCTAGCCCACAACGTAGGCTCAGAACCTGTATTCTCCTCAAGGGAAACCCAGTCCTGCGGGGAAGACACAGACACCATGAGCGGGGGCCCCGCGGCACGGGCACGGTTAGGGGAGGGTGCCGACTAGACACGGTGTTAGACAGAGCTACTGGCCGGGACAGCGGTGCAGCGGCTGACGGAAAGGCGTAAGTGGCCACGCTGGGTTGGTGAGAACCACCAGGGGCCCTGCTGGACTGTGGGGATGAAGAGAGGTGAGGGGCAGGCCAATCCCAGACGCTGGGCACAGACAAAGCTCCCTCAGGCCTCTGGCTCCGGGTCTGCTCCAGGTCACCCTCCCGGGAGTCTCGGTCCCCTCACGTCTGTCCATTCCTGGCTCTCATGTCCCACTGCTTGGGCAGGCACTTTGCAGAACCCACCAAAAACTCCAAGTAACAACTCAGGGAACAACACTGCCAGGGGCTGTGCATGGGGCCCCCTGCTCCCCAAAGCTGCCTAAGGTGGTACTGGGCCAGTACCATCCTCTCAAGAACACAGAATTTACTGCCTGAGATACAGGAGTCCCAAGGTAGTGTCCAGGGCGCTCCGGAAGGGCTGGCTAGCACGGGCCAGCTAGCACACACACACCACCACCACGCACTCACACATGCTCACGCAGAGCCACTCACGCTCATGCCTACTCTGCAACAGGGAACCAAGCTTGCTTTGTTGAGTACTGGTCTGCTGAATCATAAAACACAAACCCTCCAGTGTTACAATGAAACAGATTCACTCTCGGGTTGGTGGCCCCGTCACTGGGAAGAGGGGTGAGGTCACAGAACAGGGTCAGGCGGAAAGGCAGAGGGGGACACAGCAGGACAGCTAGGACACTTCACTCCTGCCAGACGAGGTACCTGTACTTCTGGTAGGAGAAATAAAAGGGGACGCCAGGTCCCCATGCTGGGTACAAAGGGGATGACACCCCTCCCCTGCATCTGACATCCATCAAGTGAGACAGCCAGAGACTGTCATGCCCACAGGTTCCGACACTGAACCAGCTCTGAACCCTGGGGCTGGCCGGCACCAGCAGTGGCCTCATCCTACCTATTCCCTCTCTCACCACCTCAGTGTCCCCAACTGTAAAATGACAGTGGCACCCCAAGGGCAAGCAGTGAGGTATTCACACAAAGCCCTCTGAACAGTGCCCAGCCCACGGCAGCCCCTGACAGTGCCACCAGCGTTCCTGCTCACAAGTTCTGCAGAGGGCCATGGCTTGGTTTATAAGAGAGGAGGCCTAATATGTAACAGAACTGCTCATGGGAGAAAAATGTGAAGTCCAGACATCCATCAACATGATCTTCCTATTCTTAACTTTTTAAAAAGATGCCGGGAACTTGTCACTTTGGGAGAAGATGAACGGAATTCAACTTTTTAAGAAAAATAACATCTCAAAAGCCAATGTGCCACTCTTGACACTGGGAAGGCCTTTTCTTTTGCACCCGGACGGCTGACATCTGATTACTCAATCTCGTCAGGGTCCTGGGACAGCAACTATAAAGCAGGCACCGGTTTGAACACCTCTCCTGCACTCTCCAGCTTCTAACGAGGTGGATGATGTCACTGTGAAGCCACAGGAAGCCATGCGCTCTGAGGTCCAGGAAGACACTCGGGCTCGAGCTGGCTGCGCATTTCGAAGGTGTTCCCACACCTTCAGGACTGGGCTGGGGTGGGGCCGGCCTGGGCGTCACTGTGCCCACCTCCTTCTGCAGCAGACTCACTCTAGCAGTTAGGGGAAACTGAGGAAGGCCTTCCTTTGGTGCCTCAGAAGCTATAGAGAAAACCTGCACACGCACGGGCTCCTCACGCTGACCGGAGGGAACGACCTGACCTCACGGGGGCCCCCACTCCCTCTCGTCCATGGCGACCTCTGTCCCTCCCCAGGCTCACACTGCCGCTGTAGGCTGGCTGCCTTGGATGTGAGTGACATTCCTTTGCGAATAAGGCCCCTGTGGGTGTAACTAATGTGGGAAACATGGACAGGGACACGGACGCATGCACACCATGTGTCACGTGAAGATGAGGGCAGAGATCTGCAACACCCGAAGGCCGGGAAACTGACAGGACTGGGGAGGCAGGGGACAGTCTCTCTGTGGCAGGAGGAACCAACCCTGCTACTACACATGGACCCTGGACTTCTGTGACTGTCTCGACCAAGCCATCCAGCATGTGGTGTCTTCCTGCAGCCTAGTGGACTAACAGGACCTGCCAACAGGTTACTATCTTCCTGTGTGGACCCCGAGCGTGACCACGTAACTCACACACACATACGAGTGCCACACCCGTCCACATCCCTGGCCCTGGCGTCAGCATGGCAGGCTGACTGGGCACTGGGCTCCAGGACAGGGGCACCCACCTGGACGGCTGAATCAGACCCCTGATGCCCACACCAGCCCCACGCATGTGTCCTTCCTCAGGGAGCGTGCACTGTGTGCACTCCACTGCTGGTGCCAGGGAAAGCTCTGCCCGGCCCCCAACGAAGTCCCAAGGGGAGACAGCGGTGCCCTTGGCAGTGGGCAGGGAGGACCTGGATGGGGGCACGTCATTCACACCAACTTGCTCATGTAGGCAATCAGTGGGCAGTGTCAGCCCCAGGTTCCAATCCCGCCCCATCCCGCCTTGACTACCCAGAGAACTCCAGAGAGCTGCCGAACCGCCCGTGCCTCAGTTTCCTGTCCAGAAAATGGTGGAAATAAGCAGGGCTTGTGTTCCTGTGTTAATAAACACCCCGAGGACCCTGCAGGGGCACACAGGGGCCCCCATCCCTGCTCAGGCCCTCCCCAACTCATCCTCACCGCAGCACACCTGAAAATACCACCACCGTGGCCAGTCAGCAATTCCACCTGCAGTTCTCAGCTGCTCTTCTGCACAAACTGCCTGCCCTGCGCCTATGCTCAATAGGGTCACCGCCACCCAGTGCGGTCCAGACCAGAGGACCCCTCATGATGTGGCTCTAAGCCTGCACCCACACTTACTCCTGGTCTGCCCTCCTATCCTGGACCAGCGCACATGAAGGCCCTGAGCACGGGACCAGACTCTGGGGTCAGATGAGCCTCTCGGGCGGCTTGCATCTTGTTACCAGCGCACATGAAGGCCCTGAGCACGGGACCAGACTCTGGGGTCAGATGAGCCTCTCGGGAGACTTGGCCATCTTGTCCCGGGCATCCTGGTTTCACACCTACGCTCTCACCAGACTGGGTCTCCCGTAAAACAAGGGGGAGAAATGGAGCCTGTCCCAGGGGCCGCCCAAGCTCCCTGCAGAATCAGCAGCCTGGGCTGTCCCAGGCCTTCTGCCTCCCTGGGGAGCCAGACCAGCAGGGACTAGCACCCTGCTCTCCTAGGCGGGCCCCTACCTGAGGGAACCGCACAGCTACTCTCTCATTCATGTCCTCTGACATGTTTGGCGGAGTCACCCAGGAGTGATGCTTCCAGGGAGCCGAATGCTAATCCTGCAGGTGGGAAAGGTCCTAGGAATGCAGCCGGCTCTCCTGGTCTCTCCACCGGGAAGGACCCTCAGGTAGATCACTGTGCTCCCCACTTGGAGGCACGCAGGTAATTATGACTTCTCTTCAGGGTCTTGTGGTTCTAAACACTACACACAGCAACTGGTTTGTTGGGTTTCTCTGGTATTTCATGAGCATCAGTAAATGAAAAGCAAATAGTTATCTGTCATCAACCCAAAGCCTTCCTAGTTAGATGAAATCCAGCCAGCAGCAGAGGACAGTAAGCGGGGTGCTCCTGAGCTGCGGGCTTTGCAGCAAGAGGATGGCAGGCCCCAACCCCACAGACAAGGTGAGCAAAGGAACTTCTGCAATGTGTCTTTTCCAGCTTCCTTGAGCCACTTCAAACATAAAGGAAAAAACCCCAGGCTGAGGCTTCGCTGGCGAGATGGACCTCATTGGTGACCCTGACAGAAATTCTGCGGACCAGAGATATTTGTTTTTCTGGTTTGGGAAAATCTGCATAGACTTCTCCAGTTGAGGATCCATATTCTGAAAATCCAGAATGCTCCCAAATTATAAACTTGCAGGATTATGTGGGTTCTCAAAACGTTCTGGATTTTAGTTACATATTTTCACACCTGGAATGTTCAACCTGCCTTTCAAATTCAAATCTGCTGTCTTATTCCAGTCACTGGATCCTTTTTCCTACCTAAAATTTAGAGGACATAACAAGCAATTATTTTCCTGCTGTCCATTTTCCAGCCCTGCATTCCCAACTGGTATCACAGAGCCCTGTCCACGGCTACTGCTGCGAAGGTTACAGAACATGATGCCCAGATCTTCGCCTGCCGATTATTATGGGATACAAATGGTGCCAGGGCTACTTTATTTCCAAAAAGTCCCTTAGTCTCCCCATGTCCGACCCCCGTCATGGGCACCACTGATACACACCTGCCCGTGCACCTGGCACAGGTGTCGGCAGGGGAGCAGTCCGGAGCTGCAGAGCCCCGGCACCGCTGACCACCCAGGGAACTGGGCTGGGCACCGCTGAGCCCCACCAGAGCAGTGTAGGACCCTGCAGCTCTGACAAAACCTCTAGGAGACAGGGACAGTGTCCCGCCCTGGCTCCCACCACCCCCTCCAAGCTCCACC